GTGTGGGTGTGGGGTGTGGGTGTGGGTGCGGGTGTGTGGGGGTGGGGTGTGGGTGTGGGTGTGGGTGTAGGTGTGGGTATGGGTGTGGATGTGGGTGTGGGTGGGTGTGGGATGCGGGTGGGTGTGGATGTGGGTGTGGGTGGGTGTGGGATGCGGGTGGGTGTGGGATGTGGGTGTGTGTGGGATATGGGTGTGTGGATGCCCAAAACGATAGCCCATAGCAACCCATATCCACTCACCCACACCCACACCCACACCCACTCACACCCGACCCACACCCACCCACACCCACACCCACCCTATTTAATCTGTATCGTAAGAGTGAGATTCTGGGTGTAGGAGAAGTGAAGACTAACACCCACACTCACAACTGAAGTTTCCTGATAAGTTCTATATGATGCTGAGTAAATTATACTGGGCGTTCACCAAAAAAATACTGATCATTTAATTTGTTGCCATTTAGAATTGGTTGTTTTTTCTGGTAAGACGGTTTCAGCTTTTTGAATACATTCGTAGTGCTTCCGAATAGTTTCGCACAGTTTTTGCATGACTTTCACCGACCCATCGCAAGGAGCGAATGATTTCTGGATGATCTGTTGAGTAGACTCGACGTTCAATATTTAATGCATGTAACCAATATGTATTATTCTCGTCCAATCCTTGCATGTCGAAACTGCAGTTATTGAGCTTTCTGATACACTGAGTTGTATTCAGTTGATTAACTGTGTCTTCTGTGAAAGTTATTCCGAATGGAGGTGATACCATGTAAATTGACGACAGTTCGCTGTACGTGTCATATAGAGTGGAAGCATGAGAAAAATCCTTCAGCGCTCGTAATACAGACATAAAATGAGAATAATTTATATTGATTGTAGGTATCGTTGTATTTAATTTCAACTGATAGAATCGAAGAACCTTCGTCCACTCACCTTTCTTCTTATACATGGTAATGATCCAATCTAAATGAAGACCAAGATTGGGATGATCAGGTGGCAAACATTGTTCTTCCATTTCAAATTCTTCAAAGAAACACTTTAAAGCAAGATCTATATCACGTTTTGTTTCATGAACAAGACCAATGTTGCCAAGACATCTAGCAATATGAGGATGTGGAGCAGGCAAAAGTCTCATGTACATATGGTATGCTCGATTTAACCAATCAAGAGCACTATTCAGATCACGCTTCTTATGAAAGAGATTTCCCAAAGCTTCATATATACCTGCTCTTGATAGTGAATCAATATAATGACTGTCTTGATCAATTGTTAGTGCGTGAGAATAATTCTTGTTGGCTTTATCGAAATCTTCTTTTTCACAATAAATATTACCAATATTATGCAGAGAAGCAATAAAATCAGCATGCTTTAGCGGAAGTTGCTCTTGACGAATCGCATAGGCACGCTGGTAGTTTTCTAATGCTAAATCTAGCTCACCTTTTTCGTAATGTGATGCAGCAATGTAGTTGTAAATAAATGGAACATCTGAATGATTGGAAGGTAGGCTTTGAAGTAATGTCTCGAAGTATTTTTTTGCGTGCTCTATATATTCCATATCGCGCCAGAAAAAGGCACCGAGAAGCACAGCCGCACTCTGATCTTTCATTAGCTCTTGAAACAATAATTTGTATTCTTGAACATGATCTGAACCTTCATCTGTTGCCGTCAATCCTACTTGCCATATGTTAAGATCAGAATTTTTCTGAACAGAATCGATTTTGAATGAAGCATCATGGCTGATAAGTACCTCGTTTTCACTAGGCATTTCACTTGTATCATAAACATCAGCGAAATCGAAACTTTTTAATGATGGGTCAACATGGATAATAAATAAAACCGCGTATCGATCGTCAGTCTCTTCCATTCCTTGTCCAGCAAAAGCCAAAGAAACAGTTAAATCACGTGAAGTCGAAAGAAATCCATTAGTAGAAATAAGTGTTCCTATACTTCTTTCTAGTATAGCAAATTCGCCTTTAGACATACGTTGACCTCAATATAATTTCAAAGTTTTCTTTTTCTTTCCTTTATTACGTTGAATTTTCAACTGATTACAAAGATCTATGATGAAGAATCGAAATGAATAAAGTAACTCGATATTTTCCGTTCGAAGAGCCTTGTTCAATAATCTATAGAGAAAACAATCTCGTGTATATCATCTTATGGCGTCATCAGATGTGTACGTTTCTCGAAATTGCTCGATTTTCTTTAGCTCTCGTTTGTTGCCTCGATAATAATCAGTGCATTTTTCGATCATATCTTGTTTCGATTGTTCGTCTGCAGGTATTTGTCTAAGGATATAAATAAGTAAGTGATGCCAGAGAAACGCGGCAGATCCTCTTGGTGCATCGCGCAGCGATTTTTGCTTTTGATCAAACAGACTAAAGGCATGAATTTGCTTTTCAACGAGAAATATAGTTTCTGCAATTGATTTTAATAGAGAATCTTGATTAATGAAGATTTCCACAATTTTTGCATATTCATCTTTTAGAGATTTATGAACTAGTTCATCGGTGCAAAAGATGAATATGGCAGTCACTGAACGAAGGAAGTGAATTGAGGGTAAGATCTCTTGCGCTAAAGCGTCGGACGTAACTAGTAGAATATGCCGGTTATTAAGTGTCTTAATCAGATTACAACACGAACGAACTTCAATATATAGTCGAACTTCTGGATGCAATTCAAGTAGCATCTCTTGTATAGTATGCGCATGCTTGTCGTCACTAATAGCAGCATCAAGCCAAACGAGACATACTGCTTCATGATTTTCAGATATTTCGATTGGGTATAAATGATGACGTACGCGACCCACTCGTAACATTTTGCTAAAAAAGATTGTAAAATAAAGACTACGATTCACAGTACATACACCCACAGATACAAGTATTTTCCCCGTTTTGTTTCTATCCTCTTATACTTTGCATGAAATTTATTATTAAGTAGAGATATGGCATTGGAATTTTACTTTGGTGCAATCTGTACATCATAGAATGTGAGTGTGGGTGGGGTATTGGTGTTGGCATGAGTATAGGCGGTGTACATGTACGAATAGTTTTTATTTTCGCCCGCACCAAGACCCACATCCACATACATTCACATCTCGGTTAAAAGTTGGATAGAAAAAATGTTTGACCTTCTCACAGTCATGAAAAATAATTGCGGCAGTTCATTTGCAGGAAAAATGCATTTCAATCAGAACTTTCTCTTCAGATTCTCGGACAATGGAGAGATAAATTCAAATTTTTAAGCTCCTAAAAGAATTTTACAAATAAATATCTATAGGTTTGAAATTTTCTATCATTGTGACCTGATAAATACTGTTGAAAGGCGTGCGTGTGGGTGTTAGTTGGGAAAGGGGGTGTGTGAATTGAGAGAGGAATCAAACCCACATTCATAGTTACATCCAATCCCACGCCACATTCTCGATTTCAACATTGTTTTGATTCTTTCTAACAACTCAACCATGCCTGCGCTATGCATTTAACTTTTGAATTAGTTTGATTTGCTTTTCAAACTATGCTGATAAAATACTCACCGTAGTGCAATAATAATACTCAAAATATTCGTAAAAACTCCAATGACTTGTTGTTATCGGTATTCAATTATATGATGTATGTGATACTGTTTGCTTTCAGTAGTCACATGATTCGTTTGTTACTTTCAGACTAGAGCAACGTTTTACTTTTCTTATCTTTCTTCTTTTTGGTTTTATTTCCATATCTTCAACTACGAACTTTGTCAAGAGAAATTGCACTTATCAAAATTAAAACATTCGAGATGAGAAGCACACCATGATTGAATGCAATCAAGAAAAAAAACCATACTCATGCAAGGAAGTTCATTTTGAATAGAGTCAGTACAGGGTGTGGGTAGGGGCATAACTAGAAAAACATGATAGGGAGAGCTCAGCCCCTGTTTCACCTAATTGCGTAGGCGGTAGTATGTTCTACTAATTATAATTGTATAGGGTTTATATTTAGCATATATATTAGGTTGAAAAGTTCTTTAAGCCTTAGCATTGTGATAAGTTTTGCACTTATATAAATTCGTTCTCCTGAAATATAAATTTTGGTGCAATGCTTGATTTAAGACATCAAACTTTTAAAAAACTAATGCACATAAATGCGTTACAATTGCCGCACATAAAAAGCTTATAGTTTTTCTTTTTTCATACTGAATTATTGAGAATGGCAATGGAATTCAGAAAATGCGATTAGTATCGTTGGTTTCGTTGCTGAAAATGGAAAATTACGAAAGACTCTCATTTTACTAAACTTTGCCGTAAGTGAAATATTTCTATATGATATTATGTATAGATTCATTAAAAAACTAACTATTCTTCCATGCACTTATAATAATAAACAACAATGGCTAGAAATTCTCGGATTACATTCGAATTAGTAATTACTATATTTGTAGGTTTGGGTCATTATATTTATGCGAACGTTCAAATTTTGTATTAATTTAAAAAGCTTTCAATATCAGGATGCGGGTGTAGATGTGGGTGGCTGTGGATGTGCGTGTGGATGTGGGTGTGGGTGTGGTGGGTGTGGGTGTGTGGGAGTGGGTGTGGGTGTGGGTGTCTGGATGTGGGTGTGGGTGTGGGTAGGTGTGGGAGTGGGTGTAATCCTCATGGACATCCACAGCCACACCCCACAGCCACACCTCACATCCACATCCACACCCACACCCACATCCACACCCACACCCACACACCCACACCCACACCCACACCCACCCACACCCACACACACCCACACACCCACACCCACACCCACCCCACACCCATACCCACACCCACACCCCACCCTAGGAAAATTTAGCCTCTCTAGTGATAAAATGATGATTCCTCAAAAATCTTAGTTCAATTATAAAATATTGCTTCAAATCTGCCACATAAGTTATGTAATATGAAATAGGGTGTGAGTATGGGTAGGTGTGGAGTACGGATGCCGATGTGAGTGTGAGTGTGATTGAGAGGTGTGGTTGTAGAGGAAAACAATGCTCAAAGTCACACCCACACCCACACCCTTCTTTATTCTTTACCTAAAATAAATAATCAATGACTCGATTTAATAGTACAAGACAAAATCTTCACTAATATCCTTGATTTTGTTTCCTAGTCATCAATTCATGATATGTCTTCAATATTTGATTGAAAATTCGATCGATTTTGTACAGGAATATTACTTCAAATTCGTCACAATATGAAATGTCTTATTATCGATTCGGTTTTTATGGTACGTATTCTTCATGTTGCTGACTATCCTAATCTTATTTAACTTAAAATTTTGAATTTCGATAAAGGAACTGTATCACATTGTTTTAAAGGTAATGAATTCACATATATCGATTTCTGTTCGAAGATTGAGATAGGAAACATAATAATAAACAAAAGATTATGCAATATTAAATTTTTTTATTGTTTAGACAATACTCTCTTTCAATATATTGCTAAACAAATTACGGATATTACTCTTATCGGTAATGAAAACAAAATCGAAAGAGGAAGCAAATATTATACAATGGATGTTTATGGAATTATTTTGATTTTCTACAAAAATTTCAAGTATTTGACTATTGCACTATCGTCCATTAGCTATCATCCGTCGTTATCGCTCAATGATTTACAATCGACTACATTTTGTTTTATTACATGGCTGTCTTAAACAATTAACTACATTTATCGTTCAAATTGATTATATCATTTATGTGTCACTGACATCTTACAGCATTGGAAGCTTATCATTTGTGTAACTATCAATGTTTTTTAGTCCGCTAATCAGATTGGAAGTTGGAAAAAGAACACATATGGATTGTTCTTATGTTGTTGCAAATAATTTTATAATCAATTATCACATATTGACGATTAGTTTAGACGTCAGAACTAAAAAAAAAAGAAATGAATATAAAACTAGTATTCTAAGAATGGTAGTAACTATAGATCTATCGTTTTCAGCAATTGTAAGAGGAGATATCGAAACATCTTTTGCTCGGATATTATGTAAGGCAACATCACTTTGAACTCATTTGTTTCTGGAATATCAAATTTTTATATAAAAAAAAGAGATCATTTTCATATATTTTTTTTAAATATTTTGCAGAAACAAGTGTGAATTTAAAATGATTTCGCCTTATATAATATCGAAGAAAATGATATCCGGATTTTTTCTCTTTTGATTGCTAAAAACTAGATTAATGTCAAGAACCATTTCTCGAAATATTTATCTTACATTTCTCTCTTTTTTTAACACTGACGTCAACAATGGCTAAAACGGACATTTACTTATGAAATATGACGGCAAAGAACAGTTATTCTTTTTTTCATTAATCACTTGAGACTTATTGATTTACATGAAAAAGAAAAATCAAAGATGTAAAAATTTTTTAAATAATCACTTCATGTAACTAAGATTTCCTTTTAGTCTTCAGAAACTTGTGCTATTCGACTGAGCATAATCATTTGATTAAAAGAGGCATATATTCGGAGTTATTGCTTCTTGATTTGTAAGATAAAGATTTTAATATCTTTTTCAAAACAACCTTTCAAATCAATGTAAAATAAGTTTAGGTCACATTATGGTTATAACATTCTGCTCAGTACTATGCCATCCTATTAAATACTATATTTTTTTTTGAAAATCTGTAGTATCGAGTGCTTCAAAGTGTCGCAACGAGTTATAGAAATATAACTTTTTTTTAAAAATCAATAAGATGAGTTTAGCTTTTGACCGAAAGTCCTTTATGACTTTCAATTCAGTCGAATAGTCACTAGAAATTCGGATTGGTCAAATATTCACGTACTTTGAATCAATAATAATCTTCGTACTCATTGATAAATGATGGCAGATATACATTCGAAAACTTTTGTCTTTTTAAGAGTTTTTAATGAAACAAGTTTAACTTCGTAGTATCGAAGTTGAAGTTCATTTATAAGTTTGAAAAATTGAAATAGAACTGTCTAACTACACGCTAGGAATTAAG